AGGCACACTGCCCCAATAAATTGCCGTTGCTATTCGACTGGAAAGTGTGCCCGTACAATGAAACATTCCCATGCATCCATTTCATTGCGCGCGTTTTTTTCTGCCAGTCTCTGCCCTCCTCACCGGCATCCCTAATGGAAATATGCCATTCAATCATAAATATTTCAGACATTACAGGAATCCAGAAATTTGCGAAATTTTCGAGCCAGGACTGCGATAAATTATGATATCACCGAGATTTTTTTTTCAAAAAAGGAGAATCAAATAGAAACACAGTAAGGACTGTGCTGTGGGAAAAGAAACAACATCCGCATGAGAATTAACACTGAAAAATATGTGAACTGCAAAATTGGGAATATCTAACCCTTATAGGAATATAAGTTTCAAAAGGCCGATCGAGCTTTTCCCGCATTTGATCGCTTATATCCGTGTAAATGCTCGTCAGCCCATTAAACAGGCACTCCAGAGCGCTGCATGTTAGCTGCAAAAAAATTTTACACGTACGTCGTTCTCTATGAGAAGTGCATCGAAAAGCAATGTCTGGTGGGAGTGATTTCTTGACTGACAAGGACCAGTAAATGAGCGCGGGAAGTTTGAGAAATGAATTCGCTGCGAATGCTACAGGCAGCTGCTTCTTGATTAGTGAACGAAAATCTAGCAGTTTCAAAGTCAATACGAGCTCCATCCAACGACATTCGATTGATGTCGGCTTTTAAGTGAACAATTTTGTCTCGGCCACTTGCATCGCTTTCTTCTCCAAAAATTTACGGCATTCAGAGAGCCTCAATGGATATCCAACTGAGCTGCGTTTCACATCTACTGGTACAGATACTTCACCAGCAAAATTCTATTCGGCTAATTATGAGTCTATTTTAGCAGAAGACAGCCCACCTCGCATGCAGTACGGCATGACAACGGCAGGATCATCCTCATCAGCTTCAGTAGTTTGTGCCGATATATCACAATATGTGTTCCAGTAACTCGAAACAGCGCTGAAGCCAATACAATGTACCATACAACAGTGGAGTCTAGCTCTTCGTCATCGGCAGACACATCTGCAAATCAACAGTTGTT